GTATCTAAATGTGACGATGCGAACATAAAATCGTCGTCATAATTTTTATAGGTTGTGAGATACCCAAGTGTGACGATGCAAGTGTGAACTAATTGTCACTCGAATGACGACGAACTCGTGAACTAATCGTTTGTTACTCGAATGACGACGCAAGCGTAAATCATTCGTCACTCGAATAACGACACAAGTGCGAATCGTTCGTCACTCGAATGACGATGCAAGCATGAATTATTCATCACTCGAATGACAACACAAGCGTGAATTGTTCGTCACTCTCATAAGTAGGTAACAGTCTAATGTAAGTAGGCAGCAATATATATATATTGCTGCCTACTTCTGTAAATTAACAAAATATGTAATTGCTATTTACTAAGTCCATCCTAATTTAAAAAGTAAACAATATTGATTTTTTGGAAAGATAAACCAAATTTTCACTTTTATTGAATATTTTGAAAAAAAAACAAAGAAGTAAAAAAAAGCTATAAAAAAAAAATTACTTGTATAAAGTAGTAAAAAGTGTGTTAAAATATAAAAATTTCTTTGTTGTTTTTCTGTATTTTCTATTTTACCTAGAAAATTTTATTAATAGAAGAATACTAATTTCACCAAAATTTTTTATACAAAGACACCACCTCCTGCTAGTTATTTTGTATAATAATGCTTTTGGCTTATATGCTAAATATAAAAAAGAGTTCCCAATAGCAGTAACAGTTGATCTTTATAAAAACCACTTCTTTTAGTGTATATTTCTGCCTTCTCCAACAAATTATTTTATTTTTCTTTAGTTGAAATTTTTGAAACAAGTAATTATTAAAAAAGTTCTTTTTGAAAATATTAAAATTTAATATTGCTAAAATTTTAAATATTAAATACTAAGCATCTAAATTTAATACTATCAAAATCTTTGTAGTATTAAAATTTTAATAATATCAAGATTGTGTATTGAAATTTAAATATTGGGATATTAATTAATATTTTGGTAATATCAGGATTTTAGTATTAGAATTTTGATAACATCAGGATTTTGTGTATTAGGATTTTGTTGTCAGGATTTTGAGTTTCAAAATTTTGATTATTGGAATTCTGATATAAAACTACAGTATTACATGTTAACAAAAATACTTAAAAGTGCATATAAATTATTTATTTGATTTATTTGATCAATTTTATTTGGTCAAATATTCGATTTGGAATTCAAACTTTGAATTTGCGGAGCACTAAAAAACAGCTTAAAAGATTCTAATTGATTGTTTCCTGTTTTATAGATCCAGATGTAATAATGGCTTGAATAGATTTTTCGTATAATATATATAGTATATATGATATACAGTATATTAATATTTAAACTCATAATATCGATAGTTCTGTATGCCACTAAAATCGTCCAATCCTTGTTGATCCTGGTGATATTGTAAAAAGAATCCTTGTTCCTCCATACATCGTTCAAATAATTCTATTTCCAAAGTATGAGTCGGACGAAGCGGAACCATTAAATAAAAAATTCCGTCTTTTTTCATGAATTGTTTGATTACTTTAGGTATCCAATTGGCATGTGCAATTTCATAAACAATATCCGCTCCTACAATAATGTCAAAATTTTGTTGTAATTCCTGTTTCACACCGTTTGCTACTTCTTTCCAATCAAGTTTTTCGACTTTAACAACATTTTGTAATTGATTCAAATTAACATTATATTCAACATTAGAGAGAACATTTAGATGGTAGTCTGTGAGTAGTACATTTGGACATCCAATCATTGCGCAGGTCAGTCCAACCAATCCAGTCCCTGTACCGATCTCGAGAATGAATGTCGATTGAATTTTATCCAAAGGCATTGCTTGACCAGAAGTACATCGTCTGTTAAATTTATATTACATATGTAAAGATGCTTAAATAAGTAAAAAAAAAAAAAAAAGATATTGAATGCTTGTGAAATTATGTTGTTTCTACTTTGCTAATAAATAGGCGGCACCCCATGTCTTGAAGCCAACATCGTCATCGAGCAAGGTTGAATCGCGAATCTTTAGTGTTATGGGTTTGTTGCTTCCTGGTGGTGCCGGAAAACTCCAATCCCTTACAATTGGGCCAGATGCTATTTATGTAGAATGCAAGAAAAAATGCATTTAACAAAATTGTATTTCCAATTTTTTTGAGCTGACTTACCAACTTTACCGCAGGCAGCCGCAATGCACTTTGCTGCTCGTTCTATTACTTCTTCCCTTTGTGAGTCAACATGTATCCAGTCTAGAGGTGAAGCGATAAGTTTGGTCAACCAATCGATTGCATTCCTATTAACAATAAATGAAGTTTCTTCGATATATTCCTGTGAATTACTGGTTTCCCAGATAGGTTTAGCTTGTCTATCGAGAAAATGGTGTTCAAAATTTTGAAGTATAGTGCAAAGAGTCTCATAGTTAGGTTGTTCTTTTTGAATAAGTGGTAAATGTAAAGATTCCAGAGAGCTATGTACGGTTTCTGGGATAAGTTGATTTGATAATTTTTCATGCATTGGTCTTACGAATTTTTATAATTGACAGTATTAAACATAATGCATGTCCATAAAATGATCTACATTTGTAAATGCATGTTCTAATTACAGTTCCTATGAGATTCTCAAGTTTTATTTTAGGCCAAAATTATATTTTACACTAAGTGCTGGGCCTAAATCATTTCTCGTAGAATGATTTTTCATATCCTACGTATAAGTTGAATTTGGCTCATAACGGATACGTCATACGTATAAGAAATATAAAATTTAACTAGTAAATTCGAATTAACTTTGCTGACTTTAAAAATTCGCCTATCGCTATCGCTATTTTATGTAACCATTTCACGTGATATATCAGATAAAACTCGAAAAAAAATTTTTAAGAAATCAATCAAAAATAATCATAATGCAAACTAGTTCAGAAGAGTCTATGATAATTGATCCAGACTTTGTTCCCAAAACTGTTCTTAATAATAATGATCAACAGAAAGAAATTTGCAGTATAAATCAAATTGAAGAAACTACTAGCAATGAGGTTGAAACCGAAAAATCTGTTATGGTAGTTGATAACAATATCAGTGAATGTAGTAAACCAAAATTTAGACCTGCTAAAAAACATGAATTGAGAGTAATTCTTTATAGTTTTCTTTAATACTTATAAATCTTAAAGGGTGAATTATACCAAATCATAACGATTGTAATTTTAACAGAATGGTTCTCCACAATTTCGTGAAATTCCCGTTCCACGACACCGTTTTGCTCCTTTGCTAAAAGAATGGAAAAAAATTTATGAACCTCTTGTAAAACATTTGAATCTGCAAGTTAGAATGAATCTTAAATCCAAACGTGTCGAAATAAGGGTATTTCTAATATTTCACAAAGTCTTATAAAAGGTATTATTTACAGAAACTGACTCATTTGTCATAATCCTAGACATCTAAATATACGACAGATTCAGGATCAATTCAAAAGGCTGCGGATTTTATTAAAGCTTTCATGTTAGGGTTTAGCGTTGACGTAATGTGTCATTAATTCTTTCGCTAATCCGATTAATTTTTTTCGCATCTCTATTTACATTTACAATTGTTTGATAAAATTAGGATGCGATTGCCATATTACGTGTAGATGATCTTTATATTGATTCTTTCGATATTAAAGATGGTACTTCTTTTTTCAAAAAAAATAAATTTTTGAGAAAATTATCTGTAAAGTACTGATTATTACCTAAAATTTTAGTTAAAACATTAGGAGGTGATCATTTATCTCGCGCTATAGGTCGCATTGCTGGTAAAAATGGGAAAGTAAAATTCGCCATCGAAAATGCTTCAAAAACTAGAGTTGTTTTGGCTGATGCGTATGTATTAATGTATAATATATATATATCTTTATTCAACTGGTAAATCTAATTCATCCTTTCAATATTTACAAAAAAGATCAATTCACATCCTGGGATCCTTTCAAAATATCAAAATTGCTCGGGATGCAATTGTCTCTTTGATTTTAGGTAGTCCGCCCGGTAAGGTAAATGCGAATCTGGCAATTGTTTCTTCTAGAATGAAACAAAGATTTTAAAAAATGGATGGTGATAATCATTGTATCGGAGGCGGAAAAGGTGGTTCAATTAAGAGTTGCTATGAACAACGAATTTATTATGAGAAGACAACTGTACATCATTTGTATTTTAAAATGTTCATGTTCACTCTTATATAATACAATAATACAATATAATTTTAAGGAAAGAGTTATTCATTGTCCAAATAAATATGTAGAAAATCAAATATAAAAACTTCATGAAAAATGGCGTAAAATTGTCTGATATTTGGAAATAAATGATATAATACAATATACTATTCACTAAAAAAACAATAATAATAATATCATCTTAAAGTTTTTATTATTAAAGGGGTTCACATTCCTACTATGCAACATAAAAAATAATGATATATTTATTGAATTGTCGTCCGTACGTAAAATAAACTATACGCAGCGCGGGTCTTTAAAAAAATGTAAAGTTAGTACATGTGATTATATTAAAATTGGTTGAAAAACCAATAACATACCATAACATTTTGTTCATCACATATCGATACACGACTATCATCAAAGGTGTGCCACTCGTTCCTATTTCGCACGCACGCAGTGTAATGCCCACCATTCAATCCACCGTAATGGTTTGAAGCTGCATATAGATCATATATAAAAGGTCCCGTTTGTTGTAAGTTGTAACGCGATCCACCAGTGCCAGGAATATCCATTTTTGGTATAGAACCAATCGGAGTAGGTTGTGGTATTGGTGTGGGCACATAAGAAGTTAAATCTAAATTTCTTAGAGGAAAATGCACTTTTGTTTCAAGTTTATTTCTAAAAGGCCCATCAAATGAGAATCTTTTAAGATGAATTAATAATATATCAGGTAATCGTGAAATGGTAAGCTGCTTTTTTGCTCTTCTAAAGCATTTACACTTAGGGCAATTCCAGGCATCGTCTCCCTCTAAAATTTCTTCTTTTGTAAAATCGTTAAGACACATTTTCAAATCAACCGGTTCTCCATCTTTGATATTCTTAGGAATAGGTAATGAAAGATACATGAAAATATTATATGTAGAAGATGTTTTATAACATGTCAAACATGTCAATTTATTACGAAATTGGCCTTGGAATAAGCTGACAACAACAGAAGAATTACGCATCAAATACTTTTCCCATTCTATCTCAGACGCAATCTGTGGTTGTAGCATTTCCATTTCCTCTTCTTCCTGAATTGTTAACTCTTTCACTATTGGTTTCTCTTTGATTATATTCAAATCTTCATGTAAGCCGTCCAATAAATAAGCAAGGAACTCTTGAGAGTCTTGCTGATCACATCCTGAGAACTGCGGTGCAAAACGTCCAATAGCTTCTTTAAAAGTCACAGGTGAAACAAAATTATATTGTTCGCTCCACATCACTCGTATCAATTTTGCAAATGCTTCAGCTAAAACTCCTTTAGTACCTAAAGGATTTGTTTTATTAATGTGTCGTCTGAAACTACCATCTAAAAAGTATCTGGCGAATGGTAAGGTCCCACTTAAACACTGAAGAACAGAATTCATGAAACATGTATTGCCTAAATTTTTTAATCCCGTTATACCAATGCAGGACCCTAGCGTAGAAAAACTACTTTCTGATTGGGTATAACGACCTTGATCAGAAATTAAGGATGATTTATTATGCATTGCCATTTGTTCTGAACTGTTTGTAGATGCTGGTGTTGATGTAATAACTTCATGTTTTTTCGGTGGTAACGGAGGCGCATATTCTGGATTTTTTATCTCACTGAAGCCATGGTACGGATGATCAAATACGGTTTTACGACGTTTTAAGGAACTACCTGATTGTGTCGTAGTAGAAGCGGAAACAGAAGTTGGAGTTTGTGGTATTGGTTTGTTTGTAGCAGTTATCAGTGAGTTTGAAACTATGTTTGGTGAATTACTATATATCGAACTATTATTATACAGTATGCCGCCTGTAGAGCTTGATGAATAATTTGATTCCGTCATAGATTGGGCCGAACTATAAGGTTGTTGAAACTAAAAATAGTTTTTCATAAAAAATATATATAAAAAATTAATCATTAATCAATAATTTTTTTTTTTTTTTGCATTAAAAGTTTACTTACGAAATCCAAAAAATTGCGTTTAACATGTTTAAAATTAGACGCACTGATAGGACTAAAACATATGAATAATAAATAATCTTAAATGCATATAAATCTCAAAATGATATTGATTATTTTATACATACTTTTGGTCAGCATCTTTATCACGTTGATTTGCTCGAGTATTATTATTAATATTACGCTCAATACCAGGTTCACCTACCAATCTATGCCATGCATTAAAACCTCCGTTCAACAATACGGGATCCCTTTTCAAATGCTTTTTGAATTCACTTTTGCAAATTGCTTGAATTAAATTCTTCATAGCATGTTTATTATTTAAAGTAAAGCTGGGAATAAAACTGGAATCTTGATCATGATATACAATCAAATCAAAATTATGACGATCAGCAAAAAGATTTTTTTCAAATTCAGGACTGACTATTAGTTTGGATTCAAGGTTTATAGATGATATTCTAATGAGATTACAATAATTAGATTAAAAATTTACGTATCATTTCATAAAAAAGAATATAGGCGAATCTTAAATATTTTAAACTTACTCATCCTTTAAAATGATTGGTTCCAAACAAACTATATTCTTTGTTTTAATATGTCCATAATCAAATTCATCCCTATTCCTAACGTCTAACACTAATATACGCGGCGGACCTTCGGTAATGCTAAGCAAATAACGCAAAAAACTAGCCTCTATTTTCCCGGAAGTAGGTAAATCATCTAATGGTGATTTTTTTTTATGTGTCAAGGACTTAGTTTCAAAAGACGATGCGGAGCCAGGTGGTGTTTGAGGATAAATAGTTTGCTTTGGGGCAACATTATTAGTTTTGGTAATCTCATTTTGCATGTGTGTAATATTTAAATTATTAGAACCTGTCGAAATCGATGTTATACTGCCAATATTATCATTCATTATACAAAGAGGTGATGATTGTTGCAAGGAGTTAGCACTATTAAATAATCGATTTGAAGTTAATTCTGGTGTAGGATGAGGTTCTGGCATCTGCATATAACTATCTGTAGTCTCGTTCCCCTGACTTTTATTTGTTTCATTTTTTTCCTTTTCACTTTCTTCTAATTTTTTTCCTGCTTCTTCAGCCTTTGCTAAAACACCCTCAATTCCCTATAAAATATAAATATTTAGTGAATAAACTTAGAAATAATGAAAGTAAATATATATATATATATATGCGTACATTACGTAGTTCGGAGAAGTCCTTTTTTTCTTTTCCATGCATGTTCACATATTCCTTATGTTTTGGTATAATTTCTAAAATGATGCTTTTTATTATTATGAATCGAGTATTAGAATTCTTCTGTTCGGTCATTCAAGTTGGTAAGTAAACTTCTACTTAAAACTTACGAAGATGCTTTAATATTATTGACATACACTACTTCCAAGTCGCCCCTTTCGCCGGCTAATTTCGCCTAAACGATAATATTCAAAGCAAAAACATTGAAGCAAAAGATTAAAGTATAAAAATTAGGATCTAGATTGCTATTGGTCTTGAAAGAATTAATAGCAGAAAAACCAAAGCATCTACTCGTTTTGTACAAAACATTAACCAACCTGGTCAAGCAACTTTCCCGCACTACTTAACCAAGATTTTATTGAGAAGTTTTCTTTATCAGGGATGACAAGTTTTTCTTTTAGCTGAGAAATTGGCATTTTTGTTCTCAAGTCACCGCTAGCGCTAAGATCTTTTTTTATATGCAGAGATCACACGAGCATTTATGAAATATCGGTACTCCATTTTTGGATGCATATTTTTAACTAAAATGGTTAACATTTGATTACGTAACTCTATTATAGTGTACTAACTTGCTCGCGTTATTCGATATCGTGTAACGATTGTAGGTGCAGACATTTAATTTTGATGATATTTTATATAATACCTGCCTTACTATTTGTTGTTCATGCCTACCTTCATTATAATTCCCACGAGATCATATCATGACCGGGAATCTTCCATGGGAAGATTCCCGGTCACACGAAAATTATGCAGTTAAAAATCACATGCCCTTCGGGCCATCTGATCATCGAGAATCTCTGTTGTAATTTTTAATAGTCAAAGGTTCCGGCCCTTATCATGAACTATATATACTAAAAGTGATACTGTGCATTCATTGAATAAACCTTGGATTTTAATTACATTTTAAGAAAAATATGCAATCGAATTGTTGTACGTATAAGCATTACACTTCTATTGATAATAGATAATACTACTGAACAGTGTGTGAAATTCAATGTTCTTACTGTTCTCGGAGAACATAAAAATGTTTTTGAGAACATTTTAATGTAAGAAATGTTCTCTTGTTTGAGAACATTTTTGTTGAATATTGTGTTCTCAGTGAGAACATAAATTTATTATTTATATAACAAAAAATTTACAATTGCTAAGAAACTATGTTAGGATTTTTCTTAATTAACCAGAACTAGAGCTATTAATCAGTTTGTTTTGTTCCAAAGACTAATGATCTTTTAAAAAGTTGGACCAGATTGCAGTCCAGGACGGGTGCTGGTCAAAATCCCGACAAACAGAATCCCGACAGGTCATAATCCCGACAAAAAAATCCCGACAATCAAAAATCTCGACAAATCCTGACAACAAAAAATTATTGTTTATTTAAGTTAGGGTAAGATTAGGTGAGTGCATAGGTTAGGGTTAGGGTGTGCGCCTAGGTTAGGGTCAGGGTATAGGTGATTTTATATAGTAAAATTGCTCAATGAACACTTTTTTTAATTGTCGGGATTTGTTGGGATTTTTGATTGTCGGGATTTTTTTGTTGGGATTATGACCTGTCGGGATTTTGTTTGTTGGGATTTTGACCCAAACCTGTCCAGGACTGATTAGAACCAATCAGTATGAACCTGGATGGATTGATTACTGGACTAATTAAATTCTATATAAATTGCATTAATATATTGTATTATTACCTGTTATTGCTATATTCTACTGTTCTATAATGTTAATATATTATAGAATGTTAACATTATAGAACACTACATTCAAATTATTAGTTTATTACTGTTTATTAAATAAAAGATACCTCTAACTAAATATTTAAATTTGTTTATTATTATTAAAAATAAAATATATATAAGTTTTGATATAATTTTTATAGATATATTTTTAATGAAACTTGTACTGTAAGTATATCTAGAAAAGAATTTGAATTAAATATATTAAATATATCAAATTTGTATATTTAACTCTTGTTTAAAAAAAAATTATTGTCATCACTCTCTCCAAGTAGCAGGTCTAAAGTTCAAATTCCATAGATAATAATATTTAAAAAATAGGCTTGTGTTTTAGTTAACAACTATGCTTATCAGTTAAATCTAGAACTAAATCTGCAACTTTAGTCATACTATCTAGTAATAGGAGCTTTGGCACAATAAATTTGAGGAACTAGCATAACTAAAAACCTATTTGGGAATCCTGAATTTGGAGGTAATAGTGATCTTTGATGGTACCACAGGAGAACTAAATTTGAACTAGAGTCTGAGATCAGAAAACCAAGTGATTAGGTTCTTAAGTAGAAGGATATATTAGCTAAACTGCTAGGCCAACACATTAGAAGAAAAAAGTATATGCTCTGAAAATATAAACCAAGGGGAGAACAACTATAAGGTATCTAAAGCCTAAACAAACTGACTCTTCTAGATTGCCAGCTGGAAGTAAAAAAGGTATCAATAAAGAATCTGAGTAAAAAGATAATTCTAAGTATAGGTACTAGGATTGTTATAAACCAAATAAGAAAAGAGTAAATAATAGACAACTAATTAGAAAGGTTGTGGCTTAAGATATGGATCAGGTTATAACAGTATTCTAAAGAATGGCTTAAGATATGAACTCAGTAATAGCAGCACAACAGGTACTAACTAGAAAGGAAATTATTGAACATGCAAGTAAATATATGTAGAACATACATTGCTCTGTTGGGCTTACTCTTAAGAGTAGTTAAGTGTTCTAAGTTGGCTGATTATGTAGTAGTGTCACAAAACCTACAACCCAAATAATAAGTTATATTTGTGTTAAGTGAATGTCAAGCCAAATATATTAAGGCCAAAAGGTTTAAATAGATAATTCCATAGGTACAGCAGATAGCGTAAAATCTTTAGTATAATACTAATGCTTCAACTGAACTACTTAACACTAGTTCAATATTAAAATTTTGGCAACCTATCTGCTAGCCAATAGGTTATATATAGGTCACCAAAATTCAGTATAATCTATCCGATATGCACTATATTAATAGCTTACCAATACTTAGCATGTATCTGTTACCTATTAGCTTAGCGCATATCAAACAACTTCTACTAGCTTTTGGTAACTTATATATTAATAGGTTTCAGTTGCCTATTATAAGATTTCGGCAAACTTTCTACTAAGTTTTAGTTATTTATATATAAAATTTCAGCAAATACCAGCTAGCAAATATGTATTTCAACAATGATATATTATATATATTATAGTACAATATTAATTACTTTAAAAATCAATCATATATCTTTATTTATTCATAATTGATTAATCAAAATTGGTCACATGTATTTATTTATTTATTAATTTTTTAACAATTATATAAAATATACACCATAAATGATAATACTATCTAATTATAACAAATGTTTCTTTTTTTTTTTTTTTTTTTAATGTTAAAGGTGAGACCATGCTCTTATCTTTATTAAACTTAATGAAAACTTTTTACA